CGCACCCCGAAGCTCGACAGCCTGCCGCGGTCGAGTAGTATAATATGATTTAATGTCAGATATTGCTGTAATTATTTACCAATTCAAAGGTAAAATTTTTTTATTTTTGACTTTTTTTAAATTAAACTTGTACTAACGTATTTATGAGATTTTTGTGATTAAAATGAGATCAAACACATTATAATTTGAATTATATTTACTTATTTACTTATTACTTATTATCATTTATTAAGTAAGCAAATACGCTCCAAATTATATCGTGTTTGGTATCATTTTAATCAGAAAAATGTGATAAATATGTTGGTAAAAATTTCATTCATCATAAATCAAAAATAAGAAAGTTTGATTTTTGTAATCAAAAATCAGTTCCTCTTTTTTTTTTCACTCGGTGTCCTTTTTTACGTTCGGTACGCCCAAGACCACCTCCGGTTCCTAGAAATAAAATCGTTTCTACCTCTGTATAATTGCCAAGTTTGCGTTCCGATGTTCGTGCAATTATCCAGGGTTTCTTATATATCTATCACTGTAGAAGAGAAAGCTGTTCATTATTTTTTTTTAAATGGTTGTATATTTGGAAAACTTTTTATTTATACATTGAAATCATAGGAGGGTAGCAAAGGAAATAAGAAGAAAAGCAAGCATGAAAAGGTAAAGCCAATTCTTGTAAATAAAGATGAGCCATTGGTTATTGTGACTGAATTAAGTTCTTCACAACCCCTATTGGCAGAGGCTAATCATTTTGACCTCATTCAACCAAAGGATGACCTTGAACTCATACGGAGTCATAGTGTGAGTGAACTGCTTTTGGTGGAATATTTTGTTCACATGCATTGCATTTACTTTTCATATTTTGCATATCCTGTTGCTTCTATAACACAAAACTGTATCAAGTAATACTAAATAGTGTTTATTTTATATTATGAAAACATTTTTCTAATTTATACGTATCTTTTATTTTGACACTAATAGTAATATCCTTAAACATGTTATGAGAAAAACTTCTTTTCACAAAAGATATCATTTTGATCATTATATGGATATCAATTTTTAAGTTGATGTTATGTATTTTCCATTTGCTTATTAATACTTTTAATGCACTATAAAATTGTTTTTATTTTTTACTCTTTTTTTTTTGGTTGTATATTGGATATCTATGTTACTTATAAAATTTGATTAACAATTAATTTAACACAAAGTTGACTAGTTTAATTATTAAAATTGTCCAGTAGAAAGTTTAATGTCTTCTCTAATATATTTAAAATTGTTTTTTTAATAGAAGGAAAATTTGCAACATATTAGTCAGTCTGAGTCAGTTGTAAATAAGTCTCCAAAGGAAACACCTACAAAATCGAAGAAAAATGTAAAAGATTTAATAAAAAAGAAGGATGAAAATGTTAAGGAAGAGAAAAAAGAAGAAAAGAGAGAAACAGTTATCAATGCTAATGCACCATCAGGTAATAAAGATTTCACAAAAGAAGTGAAAGAAATTAAAGAACAGAAAGAAACTCCAGTTAAGGATGCAAAGGAAATTGCAAAAGAAATTGCACCCTCTACTCAAACAACAAATAAAGAATCTAAAAAAATGAAGAAAAAAAATGATATCCTAGCACAAATTGGTAAGTTATTATTAGAAATATATATAATTATCAGTTATTTATAATGAACATATGTAGTATCGGGGCATCCATACCCAAATAGGAAACCGACAATGGAGAATAGAGAGGGAGTAGTTGGCGTAGTGCGCAAAGCCGAAGGTCCCGGGTCTCGATTCCCGTTGGGTCCCTCGAAATTTTTCCGTCGGTTCCTACACATATTAGTGCAACTGGCAAAGTATAGCCTAAATTAAAAGCCTAATTAAAAATAACCTCATATTTCCAATTATCTTTTTTAAATTTAATTTTAGAAAATTATGGTTAAATTTCATCTGAAACTTTTTCACTAACTTCAATGAAAGTATGTTTATCATGTTCATTTAAAATACTATCTTACAAGATAAATTTATTTTTCATGTTTCTCAAAGTGATTT